AAGGTGCCGCCTGGGGCTGGAGTGGGGCGGGGGCCCGGAGTTGGCCCCGGGAAGCGCCAGAGGTGTAGCCGCTGGGCCGGGCCCGCGGATCCGGGGCAGGGGGGAGGCAGGAGCGCGCAAGGGGCGCGGGCGGGGATCCAGCTGGGACCTGAGGGGCGCGCCGAGAAGCCCACGGCTTAGAAGAACCTGGAAAATGGACCGCCCTTACCTGGCTCCGCTGGCGCCTCCAACTCGCCAGGCCCCCACATCCCGCACCGCGACCCGCCACATTCCGAGCTCCTGGCCCCTGGAGAGCCGCGCACTCCGAAGCCAGTGAGACGCCAGCCCCACCCGCGACCCCAGCCGCGACCCACGCGTTCCCGCGTTAGCTCAGGGAGAACCTGGCGGCGCAGACAGACCCAGGGTCGCCCGGCCGCGGCGCAGCGCCTCCAGGTCTCCATTTCCTAAGGCCTAAAACGGTGCTAACGACGCCTCGAGCCTCGCCCCGCCCCGGGTGTGAGGAGCCGCAGAGCCCGTCCGGAGCGCGGCTTTCCTCCGGCCGTCCCGCCCGCGTGCGCCTCCCCTAGCCTCGGTTCAGGCCGCCCACGCCCCTCCCGGCCCGCCCAGCGTCTGTTCGGCTGCGCGGAGCTGGGGTTCCAGGGCGAGAGCCGGCCCCGCCCCCAGCCTGCAGCCCCCGGGGCGCCGTCGCCTTGGGGTTCTCGTAGGGGCCCGAACCCGACCCTGAGGGCCCTTCCTCGCATTTCCTCGGAGGGGCGGGTCGGGGCCGGGCGGACGCGCGCTGGGGGGTCCCCGGCCAGGCTCCAGAGGGACCGATCTCCGGCGGGGCAGCCGCGCCCAGTCGAGTCCCAATCCCAATCCCAATCGAATCCAGTGCGGACCCGCCCGGGGCAGCGGGACCCGCCCGGGGCAGCGGGACCCGCCCGGGGCAGCGAAACCCGCGGAGCACAGGGCTGCATCTCCGTTGAGGGGAATCCTAGGCCGCGCCGCCGGGCCCTGGGCGCGCACAGCAGAGGCAGGAGCCGCCGCACAACTGCCCCGGACTTTGGCCGCAAGTGGCAGCGCCGAATCCCCGCCTCTAACGGCACAAAACGAAAATGGAACCCTAGAGGGGAGCGGCGGGGCGGGCGTGAGGTCCCGGCCCCGAGCCTGAGCGTCGCCTTCTTCCGCGGCACCGACACCCTGGCGGCCGCGGCGAAACGAGAAAGTCGTTGCTAAAGGACCCCCGAGGCCCGGGAGAGGCCCGGAGGCGGCTGTCCCGGTGCACACATTCGGGGCGTGGCTCCCCACGGGCGGCGGGTCACAGTCAGCCGTCGCGTGTCCCTAAGTTAATATGAGACGGCCCCCGAGAGGTGGAAGCGTTGGCTCGGCGGCAGCCTGCGCCGGGGCGGGAGTGGAGTTCACGCTGGTCCGCGGGATGAGTGAGCCGCTCCTGGTTCCAGGGAGGGCACGGGCCCCGCGTGCGCCTCGAAGGCCGCTGCGCTCCCAGCCGCACCCACGTGAGGCCCTGGACTGGGCTCCGCGCTGAGGCTGCCCTGGTCACTGTTCTCCCCGCCAGGGATTCGAGAGAGACCGCCCGTGGGGGAAGTCGTGGGCCCGGGTTACATCCCGGGCAACCCCCAGCGGGAGACCCCCAAATCCCAGCAGGAGGCGGACGACGGGCAGCGCGGGGGACTGAGGGCGGCATGTGTGGCCCCGGGACTCGCCTCCCCGCCCTCTCCCGCCGGCGTCGCCTGGCTGCCAACGCCAGCCGCTCGATGGCGAAACCAGAAGATCCGCGCGAGCCTCGCCGGGCCGTGAGGTCCGTGGACTCCGAGGCCTGCGTCCTCCGCCCTCTGTGGCCTGGACCCGCCAGGAGCGCGTTCCCTGCCAGCGTCCGCCGCCGCCCACACCGACCCCAGCCCCGGGCGGCGGAGAGTCACGAGCGGGGCGCGGGCCGTGGCTCTTCCCGAGTGGGGCGCTCCGAGCGCGCGGGCGGAGTCTCAAATCTGCATTCTTTCCGTTCATAAAATATGTTCTCGTATTTTTTCCTGATTTCTCATTAAAACCTTTGCCTAACTAAACTCCCATCCAAGTGGGATTTATTTCGTCCCCAGGGAGATAAATCAGGGGGCAAATTTACAGCCCGGGAGGCACCTGCCGCGCTAATGGGCCCTTCATAGAGTGCGCGGCCTATGGGGGCGCGCGGGAGGGCGGGGCGCTGGCCAATGGCCGGACCGCGGGGGCCGCAGCCAATCAGCGCGCGCGCCGCGCTCCGGGGGTCCCCGTTATCAGCGCGTCCGTCCCGCGCGGCGCCGCTCCGACCGGCCCCGGAGCCGCCGCCGCCGCCCGCCCCCCGCACCGGAGCCGCCCCCCCCGCGCCCCGCGCCCCGCGCTGCAGCCGACGCCCGCCGGGCCGCGCGCAAACTTCCCGGGCCGGGGGGCAGGGGCGGCGGCGGCGGCGGGGCCCGGATGGGAGCCCGGGCCGGCGGCGGCGGCGCCCATGGACACTAACCGCCCGGGCGCGTTCGTGCTGAGCAGTGCCCCGCTGGCCGCGCTGCACAACATGGCCGAGATGAAGACGTCGCTGTTCCCCTACGCGCTGCAGGGCCCGGCCGGTTTCAGGGCGCCGGCGCTGGGCAGTCTGGGCGCGCAGCTCCCGCTTGGGACCCCGCACGGCATCAGCGACATCCTGGGCCGGCCGGTGAGCGCGGCAGGCGGGGGCCTCCTGGGCGGCCTGCCCCGACTCAACGGGCTCGCCTCGTCCGCCGGCGTCTACTTCGGGCCCGCGGCCGCCGTGGCGCGCGGCTACCCCAAGCCCCTGGCCGAGCTGCCCGGGCGCCCGCCCATCTTCTGGCCCGGCGTGGTGCAGGGCGCACCCTGGAGAGACCCGCGTCTGGCCGGCCCAGGTGAGTGGCGGGCGCGGGGGTGCGGGGGGCGAGGGGGCGGGTGCGCGCGGAGCCGCCGGCCGCTGACTCCCTCCTGTCCGGTCCCCTGCCCTCCCCTTCCTCCGCTGCAGCCCCGGCCGGCGGGGTCCTGGACAAGGACGGGAAGAAGAAGCACTCGCGCCCGACCTTCTCGGGCCAGCAGATCTTCGCGCTGGAGAAAACCTTCGAGCAGACCAAGTACCTGGCGGGCCCTGAGCGCGCGCGTCTCGCCTACTCGCTGGGCATGACCGAGAGCCAGGTGAAGGTGAGCGCGGCCGGGCCGGGAAAGCGGAGCCCGCGTCCTGCGAACGTCCCCAGCCCCGGGCGCCGCTGCCCCGCGGCCGCCTGACCGCCCCGCCCGCCCCGTCCGCCCCCAGGTGTGGTTCCAGAACCGCCGGACCAAGTGGCGCAAGCGGCACGCGGCGGAGATGGCGTCGGCCAAGAAGAAGCAGGACTCGGACGCAGAGAAGCTGAAGGTGGGCGGCTCGGACGCGGAGGACGACGACGAATACAACCGGCCTCTGGACCCCAACTCGGACGACGAGAAAATCTCGCGGTTGCTCAAGAAGCACAAACCCTCGAACTTGGCGCTGGTCAGCCCGTGCGGCGGCGGCGCGGGGGACGCCTTGTGAGGACGCGCGGGGCGGGGGCGAGTTTATTTTTGCAGAAGGCGGCGGCGTCCCCGGGGGGGCGCGGGGCGCGGGCCGTGTGTCGGGGCCGAGTCGCTTTGTATCATCAATAAATTATTTAACTGGTCCCCGCTGGAGCCGCGGCTCCGGAGGCTGCCCCGCGTGTTTATTCGTCTCGGACCTGGAGCTCCGCGGCCCCGGCTTCGCCCCTGCGGGACCCGGGCTTCCTTCGGGCGCGCGGCGGCCTCGAGTTCCCCGTGCAGAGGCTGCGGGCCCCCAGCCCGGGCGAGGAGCCGTGAAGGCGGCGCGCGGGGCAGGGAAGGGCCCGGCCTGCGGGGAGGAACCAGCGACAGCCGCCGGGAGCCAGCGCCACGGAGCCAGGGACAGAGCGCGCGCCCCGCAGCAGGTACGGCTCGGGTGGATTCACGGGTGCTGGCGGGGTCCTGGGGTCCCGGGGTCGGGGGGCGGGCGGGTAAGCCGCAGTCTGCCCGAGTACCCGCAGGATGGTTTTCTTTGCTTTTCCCGCTTCGGGGCCACGTCCTGGTTGCCGCTGGACACCCGCTCGGCGGAGGCGCTTTGCTCTTAGGATTTTAAAAGTCCCCCTGCCCCGTGGCTGGCATCGCACCTGCCGCCCTGGTGCGATTCCACTCAGCTGGGGAATCGAGTCTCCACTGCAGCAGCGAGGCCATTACGCCACCTCCTGCTGGATTTTTTAGCGGTGAAAGCAGTTTCTTTCAAACTCGGACCGCAGAGAAACCTGAACTAATTCTGCCCGCGGAGCGGCGGGGCCTCTAGGGGTCACGCGGTGCCAACGGAGCTGGAGCCCCCTGGGCAAGGCCCGCAGCGCGCGGCCGGGGGCTCAGGGGGTCCGTTTCCCATTCTGAAATGCTGACAGCTCCGCATGGCCGTGGCACCGGCCGACAAAGCCCGTCCGCCCTCCTGCAGCCTCTGGTTGAGGCTGGTCATCGCTGTATCTCAATGGGTGTGACTATTGATTTTTAATTTTTAAAAATTAAAAGCAAATGGAGTATTTGCGGTGATACGATTTCTCCCGGAAGGCATTTTTGGAAGCGTTAAAGAGAAATGTAAAACGCTTAAACTTGGTGAGTTTCGTTTTTGGCTCTCGGCAGCTTTCAGGTTTCTTTACAAGGACGCAGCTTGAAGGGCAGAAGCAAGGCTTTCTCAGCTCAGCTCGGAGCAGAGGGGCTTCCAGTGCAGAGTTCTGAGGAAGGCAAAGCATTTATATAATCCCTTTGAAAAATGTTGCGGGAGAAATCCTTTATCAGAGTAGAAAGTCCAAAAGGTTGTTTTTCTCAAGTGACGGCTTGGTGTTTTGTGGCAGTAAGTGATGCAGTGAAATTCCAGGGTTTCTAATGAGCTCGATCTCAATAGGGTGGACAGGCGGGCGTGAGTTAGCATTTCAAAGGTGGCGGGAGAAGGGAAAGGAAGAGAAACAGCAACGCGGGACTGTTTTCACCATGGTCAATTTTATTGCTTAGGAACCAGACCAGTCACTTCTAAAGGCCCTCAGAATGACCAAGAGCTGACACCCGTGGGGCGGACTCCGTGTTGGAACTGTGGCCGCGGAGCCAGTGACCACAGCAGGGACACGGACAGACCCAGTCCTCCCGCCAGGAACAACTCAGCCGCGGACACCAGATCACTTGCAATGGTAGCGATAGACAGAAACATCCACTAAATGCCCTCACCGGCCAGGAACTCTGTAGTGTTCTAAAGTAAAATCAATAAAACATACATTGTGTGTCATCAACAGACTCATCACCTTTTAATGCTGTACTTAGTGCTAGGAGAAAAATATTTGCGACAAGGTTAATACATGGGTTGTCTGCAGCGGAGCATGGAGGAAATGTACAGTTTGTTTCTCTCTAATATTTTTATATACAGCCCATGTTAAAAGCAGTTTCTATTGGAAGCAAACTAGGCTATTTCTATTTCTCCCATGATATTGTTGTAATGTAGAATACTTGGCACCATGAAACAGTAACAAAAGACAGACAAACGGTTTACAAAATTCTTCAAAGGTACACCCAGGCTAGCGATAAACTTCACATTCAGTTGTTAATACTACACAGAAGAACGGATGGGCGTAACGGGCCGCCGGGGCAGACGTGCGTGGGGCCGGTTTCACCCCCGGGGCGAGCCCATGTGTTCTTTACAAGTTTCCGCGCGGATGGACACACGGCTGTGCTCCCAGACGCCAGCGCTGCCTGCGGATGGGACTCTTGTGCATTCATACTGGAAAGTACATTGAGCATACGTTTTGGTAAGGTTTATAAATTATTTTTAAAAAGTATATATTTATATATATTTATATATATAAAAATGGAAAGCAGCTGCAGTGTGATTCAAAAACCATGTGACACGGCCCACCTCGGGAGGGGCATCGGCAGAGACAGACTCCCCGGCGTGCTCGGGGCCACGCTGCCGCCCGGCAGAGGGAGTGCCCGTCTCGGCTTCCCCAGCCCCTGGACGCACCTCCACCTGGCAGAGGGAGTCTCTGGACACGGGGGTCTCCGTGCTGGAGAAGCCCCTCCACCCACAATCATTAAAAACTGAAAACTGTGAAGTCTACGGTATAGACCCTCTTTGCTGTCTATTAGAGTTTTGACAACAGGACTGTGACTTATTTAAAAAAAAAAAAAACGTTTCTACTTAATGTCATATGAACAGACACGACAGTGAGGTATGTGAGGCTGCTCCGGAACGGTCCGGAGGCTGAAGCGAAGTGTGGGCTGGTCGTCTAGCAGGTGGCGCTCGGGTGGGCTCTCGATGCAGCTTTGAAGAGTGCGCATTCCGTTACGGCGACAGGGAGGGCTCACAAAGGGTCCTCTCGTGGCGCTGGCATCTCTTCCCTGTCACGGAATTCATAATTTGTTAAAGGAACAAACGCACCAGGAAAAGCTGTGGAAAAACTGAACTAGGGGGAGGAGTCATATTTACCACCATGTCACTGCACGACACAACACTTGTGCACATGGGCGTGAGGTTTACCTGCCCCGGGCATGATTCGGAAGGCCAGGAACACGGGCTGCAGCAGGAAGAGAGGAGGGTGTCAGCAAGGCACACGCAGGACAGCCCAGTACACGCCGCCACCTCCCGTGACACCCCTGACCCTGCGCCTCACAAGGGCAGCCGTGAACCGGGCCACGAGGGGCCACTGGCCTCCTGTCCCACCCGTGGACCCTGCGCCTCACAAGGGCAGCC